GGTGGTGGTTACATAAGCCCAGGGTTTGAACTTGGGCTCAAGCCTAAATCATTTCCATCTACACACACACACACACACATTGTGTGAGCCTAGGGCTCAGAGCCAGGCTCCTACCACCCCATAGGGTTGAGATTCTGAGTCAAGCCAAGACCCTGGGTTCAAGATCAGTTGCATCACAGTGTAGATGCAGCCTCATTGGACTCCTGCTCAGGGAGTCTGCCAAAAGTTTCCCACAGGTGACTGTGCTCCACACAGACAAGTTTTCCCATACTGCACTATAGGACAAGGGCTAGAGTGGTCACATTTTGGGAGGATGGAAGTCTGAGATGGGGTGGTTAGACCGAGACCCACCGTGGAGGCATGGGAGCACCAAATTGAGATGCAGGGTTCAGTAAAATTTCTAACCTTGGGTTACAAATGAGTGTAGCTGCTCAAGTGCTAGAATAACCACCCCAGGGTCTGCTTGCTCGAGTTCTCTTGAGCCTGGGCTTGCATTGTGAGCTAGACGTCCCCTATGAGATGTTGTGAGCAAGATCCAGTGACTCAGAGTAGACTGAGTCAGTCAGGAGAGGAGTGCTGTCAGAGAGAGGGGGGAGGAAGGGTGCCTGAAAGGCAGGAGAGCAGCAAGAAAGGTTTTCTGGCTGTCATGCAGAAGCCAGAAAGCGAGAGTGAGAGGGCTGACGGCAGGAGGAGCAGAAGCCAAAGGGGGAGAAGCCTGTTGGCTCTAAGCCAGACAGCTGGAGCCAGGGGCCAGAGAAGGCTGCAGGCATGGAAACAGTGGTGGGACTCATCTGTTGATCTCTCCAGGACTGGACAGCTGGACCCAGCGGCTATGTCTACACTACAGGCTTCTTGTGCAAGAGAGCGTCCAGACTGCGTAGATTCTCTCTTGAAAGGAAACTCTGATTGCTATTTACAGAATGGCCTGGGCTTTTTTCAATTGGCTCTTTTTGCACAAAAAAACCCATTCCCCTTCCACATACACCTTTTTGCACAAGAGCTCTTGCACGAAAAGAACTTATTCCTCGTAGAAGGAAGAATACCTACACTGCAAAAACCCCTCTGTTCTTTCCTTTTACTTGCGCAAAAAAGCGCTTAAGGTGTGAACAGTAAGTTTTTGCGCAAAAACTCTATAGTGTCGACCTAGCCAGAGTCACCACGAGAGGGCCAGGGAAAGTGGGGTACTGCATCCTGGGTAAAAATTATTTCCCAGCAGTGAGGCTTGGATGAGTTGCAGGGGATTCAAATGGGAAACTGAAGTAAGGGACCACTGGCAGGCTATGAGGGGGCGCCCAAGGAGAGAGCCATGGGGTTACAACCCCTAATTTGATTGAAACCTGAGCATAATCCATATCCCTGACATTGTCTCCTATACAATTGTCAGGGGTTACGTTAAACTTTTGCAAGAATCCTTATCGTCCTCTCTGCCCATAAGGGTGAAACTGTTCAAAGCCTTTGTCTCTGACAGTAGTGGAGCCAGATACTGTACCATGGCCTCCTGCTGCCCTCCTCTTCCTGTTCAACTCCCGTTTCAAAAGTATCTAGGAACACGTCCCTGTCACTCCCCCTCCCTACAATGACGATGTAATTTGGAGGCTCTACTGCCCAGCAGGGCAGGTATGTGCAGTCTGGCTTCACCTACTGGGATAGGATTTTGCTGGTACAGCCTCCATCTTCAACTTATACCAGAGTCTTTCCCTCTGCTCCTCATGTTGGCATTTCTGCTTCTTCTGTTCTCTCTGGTGTTGTGACTGTTACTGCTGGTCTTTATGCAGCTGGTCCCTCTCCAGCAGTGTCTACTCTCAGTCCACCCATCCAAATTCCCAGTTGCAGTGAGGCAAGCCTCTCCCTTGCTTCCCTCGAGGGAGTTGGCACCAAGATTTCCTAGGCCTGGTGGCCTCTCTGCCTGTAGGCTGGATGCTCCCTACAAACCCGGACCATCCCTCCATTTCTGAGCTTGAGAATATAGGTTGACTAGCTGTGTCTTTGTCTGCTCCCTTGTGTTGAGCCACCTCTCTGCATTGCTCAAGTGGCTGACCTTTCCTCAGCTGTCACACTACTAAAAATATGAATCGCACTGTGGACCAACAGAACACCCATTGGGATGTATTAAATTTTTTGGTTTATTTTTGCATTTTTACATTTTCTGTTACATTACAGTACAAAGTGTGCAGTGCTCACTTTATATGATTTTATTACAAATATTTGTACGGTAACAATGATAACCAAAAGAAACACTATATTTCAGTTTACCTCACACAAGTATGGTAGTGCAGCCTCTTTATAACTTACACATGTAGATTGTTACAGAATTGCCCTCAAACCCAAAACAGCTGCCATGTGTTACATTACTTTTATAGCGATTAATGCCCTGCAGAAGCAGACTGAAAACTGGTTTACATTCTCACACACTGAGATCTCACACTGCCCTGCTGTTACACAGATGGGGGCCATAGGGTGTGTTTACAAAATGGCCCCAACCAGCAAAAGATTCTGAAACATCAATGATGATTAAAAGCTAAAGGGAGCTCTGTCCTTTGCCCCAGCTGAGGATCTGGACTTTTTGTTTAAAAAAAATATCCTTCACACCCCAGCTTTCCAGATGTATCAGCTCCCAGGCAGGACTACTGAATCCAGAGTCACATGCCAACAAAGGGCTTGGCTCCCTCTTTCAGCCATGCCAGTCAAAACAGACTTTTCTTCCCGTCTTCCCAATCCCAGTGTGTCTTCCCTTTCTTTGCAGGAAGTTGACAGTGTGTAATCAAGGCTGGCAGAGAGAGGGAGCCAGCGAGGGAATTGCAGTGGCTAGGAAAGGGCTGGGAGTCTGGAGCAGTGCAAACCCACAACTGGTGGTAGTAATGAGAGGATGGGTTTCTTCACATACAAATTGCCTTTCCTGCGTACAGCTTTCAAAGCCCAGCAGTGGTGTCATTGCAGAGACCTCTTCCTTGTTGCTGGTCTCCCTGATTCTTTGAGAGTCAGTTTAGAAAAGAGGAGATTAAGGTGGGAATATGATAGAGGTCTATAAAATCATGACTGGCGAGGAAAAAGTGAATAAGAGAAAGTTATTTACTTATTCCCACAATATAAGAACTAGGGGTTACCAAATTAAATTAATAGGCAGCAGGTTTAAAACAAACAAAAAGTTTTTCATCACTCAGTTCACAGTTAACTTGTGGAACTCCTTGCCAGAGGATATGATGAAGGCTAGAATTTTAACAGGGTTAAAAAAAGAGCTAGATAGATTCATGGAGGTTAAGTCCATCCATGGCTATTAGCCAGGATGGGTAGGAATGGTATCCTTAGCCTTTGTTTCTCTGGAGGTGGGTGACAGGGGAGGGATCACATGAGGATTACCTGTTGTGTTCCCTCCCTCTGGGGCATCTGGTATTGGCCACTGTCAGCAAACAGGATACTGGGCTGGATGGACTGTTGGTCTGACCAAGTATGGCCGTTCTTATGTAGCTCCCGTCTCTCCCTTCCTCCTTAGGGACAGAGAAGTTCTTTATGGCAGAAGAGCAGCAGAGAAAACCAACAGTGGGAGGAAGGAAGAGTTGGGGGGGGGGAGGGGAGAGAGAAGGGAATATGTGACTGCTGGTGGTTGCAGGAGGGAGCAGTGGCTATTTCAACTATTCAGGTCCTGTTTGCAATTTGTAACATAACATGCTGGCCGTTTGTCACATCCTTTTTTGTTTGTGTGTCAAGCGCCTCTCATCTGAAGAAGTGGGGTTTGCCTGTGAAAGCTCATGATCCTATACATATATTTTTGCTAGTCTCTAAGGTGCTACAGGACTACTCAGTCTGCAACTTTAAAACAATAACACGGCTACCCGTCTCAGATAGTTTATATGTGTTGGCAATAGGTCTCTCTTCCCTGGGGAAATTCCAGGTTGGTGGCTGAGCAGACAGGCTGGATTTGGGCTAATCTATTTCCAGAGGAGGGTGCTGCTGTCCATTGTAAATGGACTGATCCATGCCTTTGTGGCGTGAACTCTATTGGTCCCTGCAAGTTTTAATTGTAGCCTTTTGCTCCTGGAAAGTCAGATTGGATACCCTTAACACCTGCTTATGCAAATAGTCCCATTGCCCTCAATATGGAAGGGCTGGCAGGGGGGAAGGAGGCAACCCAAGCAGGTCAGCTCACACTTGGCCTTGCTAGGAAGCCCTTCTGCTAAGAGAGGAGTAGCCCTGCTGGTTCCCAAGAGACTAATTTTAGCTGGAAGGATGAGGCTTTGCAGACAGAGGTGGAAAAATAAAGGCATCTCGGGAGCCTCAGTGCAGCTGTAGGGAAGACCCTTTTCTTCTGGGAGGAGGGGGCACGAAGGGAACAAGGATTATTATACATAGCTGAACTGGAGGCTTTGCAAACATCCCACAAAATGGGAGGAAGACTCCCATGAAAGCAAAGCCTCACAAATATACTAGAGGCTACGTTTACACTGCAAAATAAATACATTCTGCAGCAGTGACGCTCGGAGCCTGGGGCAGCTGACTTGGGCTCATGGTGAAGCTAAAAATAGCAGTGCAGGTGTATAGAAGCCCCAGACGGGGGAAGGATCCCAGGGACTGATTGACTCCAGGGGCTCTGAGACTTGCTGCAGCAGGTCGCCTTTTGTCGTGTAAAGGTACCCATCCCCCAAAGAGGACGTGGTGTGCAATGTGTGTGCGAGGCTAAACTAAATCGGCACAGCAGAGCGCTGAACTAAAGAGAAGGCAACACCCCTCCCTCCCACTTCCCCACTGAGTCCTGATGTTCATTTTTGATGGTTCCTGAGACGCCGCAGCATGGAATGAAATGAAGCCTGTAGCTCTGCCGGGGTCCGTGCCATGTGTGGCTGTTTATGACCTGCCCTCACAGTGTGCTACCAGCACGCTAGAGGAGAGACGACCAAATAAAAACACAGATTGAATCCGCACGCCACCAACATGCTGAGCAAACTGAACGAGGCAATGGAAGCAGCCTCGCTTTCCTTGGATTAAACTGCTTGTTTCTCTTGCAGAGTGTCCCTATCATAAACCTCTCGGGTTTGAGTCAGGAGCACTTCCTTCCGACCAGATAAGCTGCTCCAATTCCGAGCAGTACACCGGATGGTACACTTCATGGACTGCAAACAAGGCCCGACTCAATGGCCAGGGGTTTGGGTAAGCCTAACATCCCCGCTGCATTAGAGTGTTGAATGTTGTGCAGCAATTCAATGGAGCACCATGCAGTGTTAGCAGCAAAAAAAAAAAAAAAAAAAAAAAAAAAGGGGGGGGGGGGGGGGG